AAAAAAAAAAAAGAAAAGAAACACTTAAAGAAATGTTCAACATCGTCAGTCATCAGGGAAATGCAAACAAAAACAAAAACTACCTTGAGACTCCCTCTGACACCTGTCAGAATGGTTAAGATCAATAAAACAAAAGACACCTCATGCTGGTAAGGATGTGGAGAGAGGGGGACACTTTTTCATTGCTCATGTATAAACTGGGACTAGATCTACCTCAAGATCCAGCTATACCACTCTTAGGCATAGACCCCAAAGTCTACATCCTACTACAGAAACACTTGCTCATCCATGTTTATTGCTGCTCTATTCATAATAGCCAGAGATTTGAAACAGCCTAGATGAGAGAGAGAGAGAGAGAGAGAGAGAGAGAGAGAGAGAGAGAGAGAGAGAGAGAATCTGTAAAGTTGGGCAGGAAGGGAAGTGAGGAGGATGTGGGAGGAATTGGGGGAGAGTGGAGTAGACTTAACCTATACTGCAATTAGCCTCGCAACAATTGGATTCCATCCCATATTCTTTGTCACACAAACTGCACATTCTTGGGCAATTTTCCATGCTGTAGTTTTCTTATAAATTAAGGTATATACTTTCAAACAATCATTTAGTCTTTTTTCCCCAAAGTCAGTATGAGCCAAAATGAAAAATTATAAACAGAAAATATCTACTTATTTTAGTTGTTAACAACTAAAACTCCCATACCAAACTTTAAAAGCTTCACATGAACACTCGCAGAAAAAAGTGTCGTCGGGGCTGGGGAGCCAACACAATACTGGACCAGCATGAGGACCTGAATTCAATGTCTAAAGCCAGACAGGCACAGGACAGGGGCACCCTGGGGATCCTGGCTTATCTCGCCTACTGGGCAAGCACCAGGTTTCCGGGTCAGTAGGAAATCCTCTTGCCAAAAGACGGTGTCCAGCTCCTGGGGAACAACACCCCAGTTGTCCTCTGCCCCCACATGCACACACATATATGACTGTGTAGACACAAACAATGTGAGAACAAAACAAGAAATGGATCAAAAACTCTATTTTAAACCCAGTGGGGACTGGTGATGTGCACACTACCCAAGCCGGATGGCCTGCGTTTGATTCCTGGAACCCAGCTGGATGTGGCAGCTCACATTTGTAATCCCAGCACTCCAACAGTGAGATGGGGAGAGGGACAGGAGAACCACCCAGAAGCCCACAGGTCAGCTAGCCTAGAGTACACAGAGCGGTAGAGGAACAAATAACCCGCTTCATCAAGGCGGAAGATAAGAACCGACTACCAAAAGTTGTCCTGTGACCTCCACACACAGCTGTACTCATGCACAAACACACATGCAACACACACATACGCACACACACAAATAAACAAGTAAACCTTATTTACTTTAAAAGTTATACGTTATATTTATGTACTTATTGATAAATCTATGTGTACCCCAGCACATGGGTCCTGGAGATGAAACTGACAACATCAGGTTTGGTGGCCAGTGTCTCCACCCACTGAGTCATCTCACTGGCCTCCACACACTCACAATAAATAAACACATTTTTAATTAACCAACAAGATTAGTTGTTAATACTGAGGACATATTCTCAGTTCTGGGAAAGATAAATGAGTCAATGCACAAGATTACCTCTCTTGACTGCTGAAGGCTGTTCTTAGGAACCCTGAAGCCATGAACCGTGTTGTCAAAGCACCTGACAGAGAAGAGGCAGCTATCTGTGGGCTTCACCTGGACACAAAGAAATCAGAAAACAATGTTCACTCACTGGAAAACAAGTCCCCAAAATTATCCATCACAAAATGTAACATGTTATCACAGTGTAACAATACTCAGTTGAACAATCTGGAAGGCTGATAAAGGTCAGGAGACCCAGGGCACTGCAGCTTATCCATGCCAATCTGGCCATCACCTTGGTCACTCCAGGAAAGCACTCATAGTTTTCACTGGGTGTGCAGCATTAGCTTTACTTTCTAGAAAGTATAAATTAGGATGTACTTGAGGTATACAATCCTCTGCATAACAAAGCTCCAACTTATTTATACCATTTTGATTTCTTTCTTTCTTGAAAATGTTTGAGCTGAGTATACAGAAATAATTGGTAGATAAGGTTGATAAAGAGGTGGTAAAGGGGGTTAAAAAAAACTAGAAAAAATTATTTTTTAATAAAAAATTAGAAATGGGGGGGGTATTTAAAAGTATAAAGGATGGACTTCTGTCCCAAGGCCCTCCTACAGGAGAGCCAGCATAAAACAACCAGGAAGCAATTGTGTAGACCTCCACTGTTCACAGCCCTGCCCAGCACAAAACCAGCCTCAGGAGGAACTGGAACAGCAACATCCATCCACAGGCAGGAGGAAGGACTGACTCTCTTGGAGAAGACACAATCAGAAGCTCTGGAAGTCGTCATTCCCATCCCAAAGTGTTTCCTCTGCAGCCCACACAGGGGTGAGAGCTTCATCGGCACAGCCGAGACAGTCAGCTGTCTTTGAGAATTAAGAAGACAACGCTGGACAGGCAAAAACACTCAAGAGAGGAGGACGATCTGATCCCAAGAGATAGTCTGGAGATCCCCGACTGTTCACATCACTAACTGACCTGTGATCCACACACGCACAGCATAGATTCCAAACAACTCCCCAGACCAGGCCATTGTGAATGAGACCAGAGCTTCTGCTCTGGGGTTTACACTCCAGGGCAAGCCAAGAAAGTGACTTAATAAAGACAGGGAATCTACTCTCCGGAACATTAACATTCCTTGTACTAAGGATATCCTTGGAAGGGACCTGATTCGAGGAAGCAAGTAAGCAAAACACATTCAAAATGATTAGTTAAATGTCAAAGTTGGCCAGGTAGGTGGTGGCACAGGCCTTTAATCCCAACACTAGGGAGGCAGAGGCAGGCGGATCTCTGTGAGTTCGAGGCCAGCCTGGGCTACAGAGTGAGTTCCAGGGCTACACAGAGAAACCCTGTCTCAAAAAACAAACAGACAAAAAACAAAGAAGGAAAGGAAGGAAAAGTGAAGAACAGCCAAAAAGGAAACAGGAACTAAAACACACTCCACCCACCAGAGGCAAACGTCTCCAAAGAAATGGACGATGTCAGGAAGACCAGGTACTCACATTAATACCAGACAAAACCAACTTCAAAACAAAATGTCAAACAGGAAAACATCATCAACAGTCTGCAACCAGAAACAGCCACAGAGAGAAAGCTCCACACACTTCAGCCACTGATAATAACTAGCAATAAACTGGAGGAAACAAATGAATATCACATGACACCATTTATAACATTTTACTTAACAATAGCAAAAAAAAAAAATTTATCTTTTTAAAGATTTATTTTTTGTGATTTTTTTTTTTTCTGGAGCTGAGGACCGAACCCAGGGCCTTGCGCTTGCTAGGCAAGCGCTCTACCACTGAGCTAAATCCCCAACCCCTAAGAATATCCAGAATACATAAAGAACACCTAGGATAGCAAACCAAAAAGAATCAACTGAACTGAACACTGGGCAAAGGACTGAAGTAGACATTCCTCCAAAACTTGTTCACAGACGATGAAAAAGCACCTAAAACGACGCCAAACACTGCTAAACTGGGAAAGGCGAACCCCAGCCCCAACGAGGCACCACAGTGCACCCACCACAACGGCCACTATCCAAAACGAGAGCAGGCAGCCTCGGCAGCCTCGGCGAGTCGTGAGACCCTCCAGCATTGCTGGTAGGAAAGTAAAGGGCCAAGCTATTCTGGTAGAGGGGCTTCTCCAGATGCTAAACCCACAAGCACCATGTAGACCAGCAGGTCTATTTTTAAGTATATATTCTCAAACAATTTCTACCCCATGCTCATTACATCACTGCTAACAGTACTGAAGAAATTTAAAGAACTAAACGTCTACTGACAGATGAATAACAAATAAAGAAAATGCGGTGTATGTGTACAGAGGAATATGATTCTTTGAAAAGGAAATCTGATTATGTGCTACCACATGGATGAATCTTGAGGTGTTATGCTAAGTGAAATGGGCTAATCACCAAGAGACAAATGTGTGTGATTCTCCTCTATGAAGCACATAAAACAGTTAAGCTCATAGAAACAGCAAGCAGGGTGGTGCTTAACAGTATCTGCAGGGACATAAATGAGAAATACGAAGTAAGCAGTCTAGTCATGAAAGACAGAAGTTCTTGAGGGCTGTTTCCCAGAAAATGGAACACAGTTAAACCTACAGAACCACAAACTGACTACAGTTCAAACAGTAAATTACATGGTATGTTTTTCCTACAATTACAATTGTTTGTTTGTTTTATTTTGTTCTCTGAGACAGGGTTTCTCTGTGCAACAGCTCTGGCTGTCCTGGATCTTACTTTGTAGACCAGGCTGACCTCAAACTCACAGAGATCCTCCTACCTCTGCCTCCTGAGTGCTGGGATTAAAGGCATGTGCCACCACTACCCAGCACAATTACAATTTTTCATTCAAAAATCAAAGGAAATTCTGCCAACATGTCACACATGGATGAATCTGGAGGACAAACACATGATTCCACTTATACGTGCTACCTGGAGTGGTCAAGTTCACTGAGACAGTAAGTAGAACAGTGGGTACCAAGAGCTGAGGGTGTGGGGTCTGTATGCATGCATTTGGGAACATGAAAAGACTTCTGTGGCTAGGTGCTATTCAAAATAGGAGAGGGATGCAGTATACTTAATGCCACTGAACCATGCAATTTAAGATAGTTAAGTTCTATACTATAGATATTTCATTGATATTAAGGGCAGGAATACCTATATAAGAGATCTCAATCAACCTAGGCGTTCTCCCTAGGAAACTAGAAATTGAACATAGCTTGATTTATTTAAGTGTGACTATTCAGTGAGTCTCTTTAGCTTGTGCTGATATGGTTCACAGATGAAGCCGGAAGCAGACCACTGCAGAAGAAATTAAAGTTCTAGAACAGGCAGAGGCAAACACAAGAGGACCTAATCAATTCCACAGACGCTGAAGACAGAAGTGTTAAGGGAGAGGGGGAGACACTGGCAGGTTTGTTTTGTGAAAAATGAAGTAATGAAAAGGCCCAATAGAGTGAACCCTGAGTATGGAGTAGGAGAGTCACAGGCGGGAAGAGAAGGGGACAGCAGGAAGGCACCAGCAGGAAACAAAGGCCCGGTGACTAGCCTCCTAGCACTCCACAGGCCCACCGATCAGATGAACGGACCCGACTGGCCACAAGGGTGCTCTGAATTGATGGGGCAATTCACCCAGCCTGTAACCTTCCAAAGGGAGTCCTGCTGATCCCAAGAAGACTGACACGAGAGAGTCAAGAAATGTGCACTTGAGAGCAGATAGGTGCCATGTTACTGGGACAACCCTACTGGACTTCAGTAAGGCTGGGCTCCAGGTCAGCCCAATCAGTAAATAGAGATATCTCAGTCTCCTGGACAGTAAAAATAAAATTGTTAGGGAGTACAAAGAACTTAAGAGTCCTCACTTTGACACAGGCTTTAAATTTTATTGCAGCCCCAGAGAAACTTCCATCTTCCAGATTTACCCATGAAAAAGACACACATGTACCTCCAATGTTGACCACTCTGTCTAGATGCTTTGGATCACCTGTTTCCAGTGCCACAGTGGAAATAAACAGGATGAGTGAGTGTGTGAGTGTATGTGTGTGTGTGTGTGTGTGTGTGTGTGTGTGTGCAAACAGATACTTGAACTTTGCTTACTCTTAAGTGTAAAAACACATGTACATCCATCCCATGGAATCACCAGAGTCTGCAATGATTGGACAATCTACTGTGGCATGGACTTCACAGTCTGTACAAAACACACGTCTCATCTTACCGTGCACACCGCTTGAGTCAGGTGTTTGCATCCCTGGCGGTGAGTATTCCGGACTGCATCAGGCCTTCAAAACAAAAATTAAATTAAGACCAAGCAAAAGAGCTAAGTGAGAATTTTTAGTATTTTAAAGTTTATATTCTGAAATGTATTAAATATAAGAATTATACTTACTGTTTCCTATACCAGGAAAGGACTCCATGTTCTAACACTACCCAGAATAACTTCCAGCCAAAAAATCTTGAACTCTACAGGAAAATGACAAAGATTTCCCATGTTGATGCATCTGGATTCAAATGCGTAAGTGACAAAAAAAATTAAGCTCAAATAGACGTATGTGAGTCTTTCACCCAGACAAGACAGAACAATAAACAGTAATGAAACTGAGCTGAGATACTAAATGCAATGATGAGAACACACCCCTCACCACAGGTGACACACAAATGCCACCTGGGAAAGGTCATAATTCACGGCTCTGACAGTTCTGGTCAGGGCTATGTCTGGGCTTTGAATACAATTTCCTCAAAGTTGTGAATGAATGTCTGCAGAAGAGACTTAACCTACATTCATTTTGTATAATACAGCTACATTCAACAATTTCATACACAGGGACTGCTTACAGACTCAAACGTAGTGTAAGGCTACCATGGCTGAACAACTAAGTTCTAAGACACACAGAAATGTTTACAACCAGGAGATGGCCTTCCTAGGAGAATTCAGAACTAATTTTCTGTGAAGTCCTCCATAATTTGATATTTATAACAAAAACAATATTGTAATTATGACTTAGTGAGAACGAAAATTTTCCTCTACTCCTTCCTCCCTAGTAAACTTACTCACTTTAAAGTACAGACCATCAGCCTAAAGAAAGTGTTGATGCAATAAAAGGAAGCCTCTTGAAATGCAAGAGTATAAAAGTGGCTTACCATACAAGGTCTTGGTCATCTACAGAGATCCTCCTCAACATGATGGGAATAGCCCAGCTAACCCATCATGACTTGAAAATACTATAATGCAAGTGTCTAGCTCAGAGTGCAGAGCTTTCTGAGCCTGCACATGCCTGGCAATGCACACCACTTTGGGGCCTTAAAACCGTACAGCACATCGTGATGGAGACACATACTGTGCAGACTTGGTTGCTGCTCTCATGGCCACATGGCTCACTGGGAACTGCAGCTTATCACCTCTGCCCAGTAACACAGTACACTACCAGGCCAAGGAAAGATCAAAATTACCAATCAGAGCATGCTTGCCACCAAATGCACGGCCTTTTAATGGCACTAAAAAGTCAGAAACTCATAAATCAGACTGTGGTAGTCTGAATGTAATTGGACCCTATCATCCCACAATCTCACAGGGAGTGGCACTGTTAGGAGGTGTGGCTTTGTTGGAGGAAGTGCGTCACCGTGGGGGAGGCTTTGAAGCTTCCTACACTTAGGATACCACACAGTGTGACTCAGTTGATGTCTGTCTGCATGCCCTCACGCTCCCCACCATGACCATAACTGACTGAACCTCTGACACTGTACTCCAGCCACCACAACCAAAGGTTTTCTTTCTAAGAGTTGCCACGGTCATGGGGTCTCTTCACAGCAATAGTACACCCTAACTAAGACACAGACCATGGTCAGCCAGGGACATGCTGTATGTCTGAAATCACTGAAAAAGCATTAAGAATCCTCCAGCTTCCTACTTAGAGCATCCCATCCTACCTTCCAGAGAGGACCTTCATATCGTTTCAGTGCTTTGTAGAGGACCTGCTGGAAACACGTTTCATTAAAGATGCATCTACAGAATGTATGCATTCGTTCAATGTCTTTCCCTAAAACTTACTGATTGAATTTAGTTCACCAATACACACCTTATTACCAACAAGAATATGCTTCATTTCAGCACCATGGGCAAGGTCAAGAGGTTTCTGATCTGTGTAAAATACAAGGGGAAAAAAGCCACTATGTCAACTACACACACAAAAAAATTCATTATAATTGCACCATACAATATTCCTTTGTACTTCCAAAAACTCCTCCCCACTAACAAAAATAAAATAAAAATAAAAGCACCTACCAGAAGTCACCCTCTCATTTTTTTAAGGCCTCCTTTTAAGTCAGAAAACTTGATTCTCCTCAGAATACTATGTACTGCTTCTGTGACCACCCAGGTTTTCTGGCGTTAAATGACTGTATTCGTTTTCTGACTGAATAACAAATTACAACAAGCTTACCAGTTTAAAGCAATACAAACTTGCTATCTCATAGTCAATTTGTTTAAGCTTTATATTAACTTGTTGCCATCTGGTTAACTGTTTAATTCTTCTAAAAATACCAAACACCTAATATATATTGGCCATATTTGTTTCTATTTCTTCTCATGAAATTCTGTTATGTGCCAATCACTATTTTAAGGCACTGGTGATTTAGCAATGAACAACACAGAAGATAGCAATAAATTCAGAATAAAAAAGACATAACAGGTAATATGCCATGGTATGCTAATATAATTATGACAGATTTGACAGACTCCAGGTAGAAGGTGAGACAGTGTTCCGGGATAAGCTCTCTGAGGCAAGGCTGGTTAGCCTGAGAAGGATCTTGTGAAGACACAGGGAACAGCTGACTCGAAGGCCCCGAGGGAGGACCAAGGCGGAGGACAAGAGACATGGGAACAGACATGGGAAGAGCTCACACACAGCCAGATGTCTGCAAGGCGCGGAGAGTAAGCTGTGGTTTCCAGACATATGGAAGCCTCTGCAGGGTCTCAAGACCAGGAGTGACAGACAGGGCTTGACTGACACTTACATTCTGTCACAGTGTTACTTCATGACTGTGAGAAATTACAACATTAACTGGCTGATCCTATCATTGTGCTCCAGGTTTTTAATAGCTCTACCAATATAGAAATTCACATGCCATACAATTCTATACACCATACAATTCTAATTTAAAGGGCATAAATAAATCATCTTTAATGTGTTGAGAATTGTACACCTATGACATGGTTGTTTAAGGAGCTTTTTATCTCTTATTAATATATCAAAATGTTTATCAAGGGCACGAGCGGGATGGAATGGCTCTCTGGAATGCCTTCAAGATAATCCAGGGGGTGGGAAGGGACGAAAGGAGAGTGGCCATTGCTTTTGACCTAGACAAAAGACAATGGGCTTGACTTCGTCCCAAGGCCGATTTAAGGACTGATGTGTCCAGCAGTGCCTGTTGGCATCCTCTTCTTCAGTGAGGAGGAAAACCCTTTCGAAACGTTCCCTGAGAAATCAGTCATCAGGTCAGTTTTCTACACAGCACCTAGAAAGATAACGGTCTACCAATTTTGTTATTTTCATCCTATTTTCAGGGCATTTTTGAGAAACTACGCTTCCAGCAGAGGGAGAGATGATAATATGATTTCTTTCATAGAATTCTGCCCCAATGCCAAAAATAAATTCTGAGCTGCTGCCAAGTAGATGAAATCTCAGAGCCTCATCTCTGGACTCAATGTCTACAGGGTCAGGCACACAGAAGAATTCAATAACGCACATTCAGAACTAATTGAGCAGGCTCCCCACCTACAGGAACTTATAACCAGTGATTTCAAAAACACTGTGTGTTATCAAAACAAAATAAAATATCTTTGTTCTCTGATGGGAAAATTCAAGAAAAATGTCATCTCTCTTCAAATTATTTTGCACAGAAGGAAATTTCAGTTTAGTCCCACCAGTACTGTTACCAGGAACCTAGAGACCTTCCAATGTTCTGTCAACTGTGCATGCACAGCAGCATCAAGGTCAGAACTGAATGCCCAGAAGCAAAGCACAAATGCATAAAAAGCATTCAAAAGAAGGCTATCCCCCTAGCAGCTTCAAATCCACAGACTGCTAAAAAGGATGTATAAACCCCAAGGTCAATTATTTGAGGCAACTTTTTGGATATTCACAGATATTTCCAAAATAGTGAAAACCCTGAACCCCCCAACACTAGCTTAGGCAGCTTGTTTTACAAGTTGAAGTAGAGCAAGGTGACTTGGCTTCCTCCTTTAGTCCAGGCAACGGCCACGGGTCCCGACCACAGTCTATTTAGTGTCATGTCTTAGTGTGTTTTGCTTGTGACTTTCTCATATAAAATGGCCCCAAAAATCATGCTGAAATGCTGGGCTGTGTTCCTAAGTGCAAGATTATGATGTGCCTTGAAGAGAGAACTTGAGTTAGAGATGATGCACACAGGCTGAGGTGCTGTTGGCCATGCCCTAGGTGTTAATGGATCAGCAACACATATTACATTACATAAGGCCATCTTAAACAGTAGCACTCATAAAACAAGGCTGTATATTGATCACTGATGAAAATGCCATGACAAGCCAGGCGGTGGTAGCGCATGCCTTTAATCCCAGCACTCGGGAGGCAGAGGCAGGCGGATCTCTGTGAGTTCGAGGCCAGCCTGGTCTACAAAGCGAGTTCCAGGAAAGG